GTGGGTCGTTTGAATTCTCCGGTGTCTCTGGAAGGTTAAATCAACTCTTGTCAATCAAACTGTCATTTATTTGAACCTGTTACACAAAATGGCAAGTGAAGAGAATTTATGTAAATTCCAATTATAGATCTCCATGAAATTTTTTCAGAATACTTTGAGACTGGCTCAAACGTATTCAGTTCCTCGTATATTTCAGTTCGTTCGTCGCTTTGTTTGAATTTAAGATATTCCGTACACACATGTGTATGTACGTATGTGTATGTAGAGAGAAAGTTCGTGGCTATTGAAGAATTCGCGAATTATTTTTTTTTTCTCTTTCTATCGTATCGTAACAGGGTGAAAATAATTTACTTTTGATTTTCGAAATTTTCAATCGATTATTAATTATTATGTTCTTGCAAAGGGAAAAGTCGATTGTTCGGTGAAACATGAACATTTAACATTTCGTCAGATTCGTTTTTGTTCGACTTTTCATTCAGGCCATTTGATGTTCTGATTGAAGATCGATATATTACCACACAATATTTCATTACATTATTAATCCATAAGTAATTAGCTTACCATCCGTGGTACACGTGGCGCTGCAATCAGTTTTACGTTTTCGGTAATATATGTTTTTAGCGCGTCAAATAAATGTACCACCGATGGTACACACGGCCTGAATGGAAAGTTTAACGTGTATCATCGGTGGTACACGTGGCGCGGAACGTGTTAATAGTTAATTTCAGCGGCGATCGTGTCGCGGGAAATTCAAATTGACAGATGAAGCGTTATATACATGCGTGTATTTTCGCGATGCGCGAGTAACGCTTCACGTTTCACGAAACATTTGCGAAATCCGCGCGGATTAACTCGTTCGTAGCGGATGCAATGTACAGCAGGAAGTAGGATAAGAAGGTGGCGGCGAATTTTCCTCGGTCGGTAACTCTAGGCGTACACTCTGGCAGACCGCAGGCTGATAATAGACGTCGTGCTTAATTGCATTTTATGCTATCGTAAAATACTAGGATACCGAAGGTAGGAACGAAAGCAGAGCAAATGCGGTAAGCCGCAGCTCTCTGTAACGTAATATCGTGTGCCGGGACACACAGAAGTCGAGAAAAAAAGGATCTGACCGCCGCGCCACGCCACGCCATACCACGTTCTTGTTGAAAAAAGAAGAGAAACCTGTTCCTGTTCTTGAAAAAGAGTGTGGACCTACGTAACGAGGAAAAATCCTTCTGTGTAAAAATGACATTGTTGTAATTTGTCGTGGTTTTTTTTTTTTTTTTCGTACGTGTA